GTTTTTACTTTCGAAATACGTATCCCACAATATATACCCCGCCCACATATTGTAGAGGGAGCTATACTAAAATTACATTGTCGAGTTAGTCGGCCAATCAGTCTGTGCGTCGTTCATTCCATCCGTCTTCACTATGTCTACTGAATAAATCCAAAACTACATTGAAGGCTTTCTTCTATCTTGGCTCAAATAATCACCTCAACAAAGGTTGTGCAGAACAACATGTTGCCGCTGTTCAAAGTCAACGTCACATTTGAAGGTCAAATGTCAGACAATATTGAATTTTATATGTGTTTTATTAATCCTTCACCCCTTGACTGTGTCTGTGACTTTTTCAGTATCTTAGATACTTCACGTGCGGTTGTGAATACAAGGGGATGAAAATGTCCGATATAAGGGGTGAAGAAAAATCGGATGGGCTGAAGAAAACCAATATGTAGGGATGAAGAAGAAAGTCTTAAGTCTGAAGTCGGTCTTAAGGTAGTACACCCCTAATGCACTATCTCCACGTTGAAATCACTGTAAAGTGTATTGAAACTGAGGGGCGTGGGTTCAAACCCCAGAAAGGGCAACTTTTCTTCTTCTTTTTTTTTCTTTTTAACTTTTTTTTATTAATCTCTCAGATCCCTAATGGAAGAAAAATGTGTTTCATTTTAATTATATAATCATTGTAGGTATTTATTTACTAAACAATGTCAAATTTAATAGCAAATATGATACCAGATATTTTCAAAGTTTAATAACATAAAAACTACACGGTAAAAGTATTTCATATTTTGCAAGACCAACCAATATACTTTTAAGAAAATTTAAGCAAACTTTGAAAAGTCTAGGGATTTTTTGAATAAGGCTTTTTACAAAGGGAATTGGTCAAATAAGTGTTAAAAGTGGGTGGGATAAGGTTACAATTTTATACATATTAAAAACATTTCGTTTAAAAACAATCATTTTGCTTGTTTAATTTGTTACCTAATGTCATTATTTGTAAAAAAAATGTTTGTTATCAATGAGCAATAGGAATACTTTTCTCATAATGATGATATTATAGATTATTTAGAGTTTCCTAATTTCAGAAGAAAAAAAAGCCCTTCTAATGGCACAGTTTGGTTCAGAAAAATGTCCATAACTTATAAACCACACGGTAAACTATGTTTAAATTTTGCATACAGGTGACATTTAAGGCATATAACGGTCCTATGTTGTCAAATTTACAGTTCCTTATAGTGCCCATTAGGGGTGTTCTACCTTTAGACCAAAACTGAGACATTTTGCGTTTCAAAGATAACGGCTTAATTAAGTTATATGATAAGAAGAATATAATAACCCATTACAGATACGGTAATACGACATTGCGATTAAAAAAAGCCTCTCATTGTATTTCTTATCTTTTCTCCGGAGATGAATGTAATTATAGTCTACAGTCTTTTAATGAAGGTAAAAACATTTATTGAAACGGACTTAAGATAGTCCTAAAGTTGGTTGTATGCCTAAGTACTAAGGACACACTTAAGACTCTATGAAACGCAGCCCAGATTGATATATGGTTTATAAACTCTATACTTTATGATGATACTTCAGATTGATCTATGAGTTATATAATTTTACAGATTGATATATGTTTTATACGTGTCACATGGTATTATAGATTGATCTTTGTGTTATATAGTTTTACAGATTGATAGATGGTTTATACTGTATTAAGGTACTTCAGATTGATCTATGTGTTATAAAGTTTAACAGATTGATATATGTTTCATACGTGTCACATGGTACATCAGATTGATCTATGTGTTATATAGTTTTGCAGATTGATATATGTTTCATACGTGCCACATGGTACTTCAGATTGATCTTTGTGTTGTATAGTTTTACAGATTGATATATGTTTTTTACGTGCCACATGGTACTTCAGATTGATCTACGAGATATATTTTTTTTACAGATTGATATATATATATGATTTATACGTTTATACGATCAGATTGATCGATCTCTGTGTTGTATAGTTTTACAGATTGATATACAAAAATGTATGTTTTATACGTGGCATATGGTACTTCAGAGATCTGTGTTGCATAGTTTTACAGATTGATATATGTTTTATACGTGCCACATGGTAGTTCAGATTGATCTAAGTGTTATATCATACGAGTGTTTTATGAACATGCTGAGTTATTAATGTAAGAGTTCAACAGAATGATCTATGTGTTATATTGTGTAAGAGTTCAACAGAATGATCTATGTGTTATATTGAAAAGAAGAAATATTATCTACCACTCTATTCTCGTGAATGACTTAGTTTAAGAACCTCAATCTTGGTGTCATCAAAATCGGTGATATCTGGTAGAGCAGTAGGAACCATTATTTAGAATAATCATCATCTGAAAGACTTTGGATAAAACCTTTGCGAATCATGTAATATAGCATTTTAGGCGATCGACAATATTTAAAATAAATCTAAGCGTCATTTTCTTGAAGTACAGAGATTTGCGCCAATATTTGCTCTAATTTGGATTTTAAGTTGGCTACCTAAGCATTATAGAAGATAGATTGTGATGTTTACTAATTTGTGCAGACGATAACAGACTATTGAAGCATACCTTTAACTTGGATTATGATAGGTGCACGAAGAACTGATGTTTTGAAATAAAACTATGAAGCATAAACTAGCATAAGCAGACAATTTCGAGCAGAAAATAGTGATCAATATAGAAACGAAACCGCCCAATTAAAAATAACAGAACTTTTTTATATGGACTCTTACCCCTCTACATAGATATCGGGCGCTATATTGGTGAAATCCTGGAACAGCCACTTTGTACCTTCTGTGATCTACAAGAGATAGAGGACGAAAATCATTTCCTTATAGTGTGTCTTTTCTGGGATCATATGCTAAATGATGGTTTTCGTGATTTAAACCTTCAATAATTCAATGACAGTCGAAAATGAATTCATAAACTTACTGAACAATTTACCTAGAAAAGTTGCGAACCGTACATTAAAAACGAAACTATTTACAGTTAAACAAAGTACATAGTATTTTTAATTTGTGCACAACCAATGAATTGTATAACATCTCTTCTATGTTAATCAATCATTATTTCTCTATGTTAATTAATCATTATTTCTCTATGTTAATTAATCATTATTTCTTTCTTATTGATATGTGTTAAACATACGGTGGACCATTTAAGTTATATTATTTAATCCACCTTATAATGTCAAACAATAACTTTTACAGACATATGAATAATGTTATAAACATTTTGCAATCATTTTATTTTGTTGATATTCACACTTCTAATGTAAAAGTGATCTATAGATCCACTGGGTCGGGAGTTGTTATTTATGTCATGGGTTATTACATGTACACCTCACTAAAGAAAATATTTATTTACTTATGTAATGATGCGTTAACATAATATCAAGTAGAATAATTTTTACAAAAGACCGGTGGGGACATTTAAACTTCATGAATTTCAGATTTCATTTTTGTGAATTCACAATTTTAACTTCGTAAATTCACGTTTTCAACAAACATAACTCACAATTTTCGCTTCATGAATTCACGATTTTAACTTCATGAATGTATAAAGTTAAAATCGTGAATTCGTGAAGATTAAATCGTGAATTCATGTAGTTGAAATCGCGAATTCGAGAAAATAAAAATCGGGAGTTCATGAAGTTGAAATAGTGAATTCATAAAGTTGAAATCGTGAATTCGTGAAGATGAAATCGTGAATTCATGAAATGTCCCCTATGGTCTTTCGACCATTTCAGTAGAACGAAGCATTAATGGTGTTCCAAACATATTTGACACTTCTTGTTTTAGATGACGACGATCGACGAATGCGTTTTATCAATGGCGATGTCAATGGCGTCTATCAATATGGCGGTGTTCAAGATGGAAATGGCGGTGTTCAAGATGGAAATGGCGGTGTTCAGAATGGAAATGGCGGTGTTCAGTATAGAAATGGTGGTAATCAATATGAAAATGGTGGTGTTCTATTTGGCGGTATTCAAAATAATAATCAACAACAAACAGTTGATGAATATGGATATTTTATTTTCATTGTTGTTTGAGTTGCTAGAGTTTTCATCATCATCATCATATGTCTTTACTGTGTCACAATTTTTTAAAGCATGTTTCATGTAAATAAGATAATTCAGCATGTCCTACTTTTATCGATTAGATAAATTAAACCATAACATGTAACAAAAATCAGGAAACGTTGATACATATCGTTACCTTAGTGCAGTAACGGGTTTAGTCCTTCTAAATTTAATAGGAGTTAGTTTAAACATATTTATTAAAACTCGATTGCGAAACCATTTCTTGCAACTTATATCAATCACTTTCGACCAACCAGTACTGGTTTTATATGAAGGAACACGGTCGTGACCCAAGTACGGCCGGACCCATGATCCCTGGGTTAAGAGGTAGACACCTTTACCACTAAGCCACCACTCCACTTAATAGGAGTTAACCTGACATTGCATTACGGTGACGAATTTTGTTGAGAAGCGAAGTTACAATGTAATTGCAGAAGAGGATTTTCAACTAGGTTAAAAAATATACATGTATGTACAAACAATAAGCCATATATCAATAATCAGAAATAATGCGGATTGATGGTAATTTCTAACATGTGACTTTTGATGGCGAAATGTGCCGAGAAGTTGCGGTTGTTTAAGTGCGCGTATCGATAGATACAATCGGTTTCATCTTCGTTTCCATATAGTACTCTCAGTGCTTTGATTTTTAAGTAAGTATCGGTAAAGAAGAAGCCACTTTTAATTGGACTTTTTTTAATTTTGCCGATTTTCGTAAATCGATACCAATGAAAGTTATTGATTTTCGATTTCAACTTAAAGATTACAAGTTTAGTGAAGGGAAATAGATATTGCAAATCGGAAACTCTTTTATCACGATGTTCGCAGAATATTGATAGATGTTGTTTTTATGTTGCTTTTTCTTTGACAAATATTCAATTTTGCTTTGTTGTAAATAAAGGTGGAGGGGCACACTGTGGACGGTATTACTGCACACATGGATCCTGCCAGTACACAAACATGAACGGGGTTGAGACCCATAGTTGTACCTGTAGTCAGGGTTGGCATGGTGAACATTGTGATCAAACGGGTAAGACTTTTTATGAAGTACTGTAAAATCATCAAGTTACCGCAATGCTCTAATATTTTGTGCATATTCCAATAAATTAGAAAATTGTTTGCTCTTAAAGATAAAGTATGCTTAATCTTGTGTAGAATAAATATATATTTTTTGAAATCTTTAAAGTCCTTCCTAAATATTTCTTATTTGAATAAAAGTATGAATAAATTGAAATTGCAGAAGATGTATAAGAGTAGTATTCCGGACAGACTAAAAAATATATTAAAGGGCCATTCCTTGCACAAAAATCATTGAACTGGAATATGCTGACGATATGCACAATTAGACTTGGTACTCTCTTCCTGTAAAGTTTGAATAACATTTTATTCGCCCTCAATAGTTTTATTTCAGTTCATTTTTACCCGCAATGTTTTCCCCTCTATTTCTCATCTTAGATTTAAACAATATTACTTACATTATTTAATTTTAATCAAAATGGAAGTTGATTTTTTATATCCTTTTCCAACACTCCAAGCTATCGCGTAATCGAACAGACCTCTCCTATAACGGAAGCATTCGGAACTGCCTCGGCTATTATCTATAATATTAACCTCGGAAACAATACGGATTGAAAGTAGTTCTACCACGTGGTTTCAGATGTAAACAGAAACAGAGATAATGTAATACGAATGTATATATTTGACATCTAATGCCTGTTCCGGTACTCTTTTGCTTAAAAATATGTCTGACAACAATTTGTAATTTAAATATGCCCACTGATGTTCAATTTTAAACAAATCCGACGAAATGTCAACAGGTTGGTTTTTTGTACTTTCGGTTTCTACAACCATTATAATAAATATATAAATAATGAATTGTTTGCTTTTGTACCTATGATATCATTTATTTTAGGTGAACTTTTACTACATATATTGGAAATAACCTTGTCAACAACTCCCAGCATTAAATTACTATTTGTTTACATGTTTAGTTTCTTAGCGTCGGTTAGACCGAAATACCGCATCCGTTCTGTGTATTCATACTATTGTGTTCGAGGTCCTTATCCGAAGACTGACGGAAAGGGCCGAGTAGTTGCGATTGTAACGGAAGTTCTTCTAAAGTATCAATCGAACAGGCTATTAGTGTTTAAATGACCAATGAAAATTCTGCCTATATTCATTTCTTTACTGTTAATTTTAGCGGAAGTCAAGGTGAAATCAGACGGCACTCGGCCGAAAAATGTGCATTCGATTCACATTATTCCCGAAAAGTATTATTCCATCAATACGTTAATGGATCCGTTATAGTATAACAAAGAGAATAATTATTGGAAGAATATGCTATAGATTCCTCCATATAGCAAAAAAATTTGTACCATTAAAGAATTAAGGTAAAAAGAATTAACAATTCTCACCCTATCCACATGTATATACTGTTCCACCATTGTTTAAAATGGCCCTGACCCTAAGGAAAATACTATTTTCTCATAAAAAATCATGTATGACAAAAAATGGAACACATATTATATAGAATATTGCAAGTTTCCAAGTCACTTGTTTTAAAAAAGACTGGTAAAGTATTGATAAAAAATAAATATGTTTAAACCAATAAAGAGTGGAGCCTGATGAACTTTTTGGCTCAACTATTCAAAGAATAGTGGTGCTATCCTTCTCATCCTGGTTTCTGTGTCCGCGTTGGCATACCACATTGGTTAAAAATTTGAAGGCAGCATCTAGCATGTTCAGCATCAAATTTCATGATTTTTTTAAAATGTTTGCTTGCAACTTTTTGAGATCCCCCGTAATAGGAGATCCAAAGCCAATAACTCTAGAATGGTTTTTGAAAGAATTTTGGACCATTTTACCATTTTGAACCAAGGAAAACCTGCTTTAAGTTTTTCCATGTAATATTATTGAAGGTTACTGATCAAGTATACTGAATGTATTCACTTGAAACTAAATAAAATGTCTTCGGGATCATAATCGTATGTCACTTTTCAACATCAAAATTTACCCAAAACCAAAACTCTAAGGTGGGTTTTACTGAGTAATGGCCCCTTGTGAATTTACTGAAGGTATTTACTTTTTATATAAGTACATGTTTCTTTATCATTAATAGGGTCACTATTCCAAGGACCACTTCTCTGTCATTGATTTTGATTTATTATTAGACGTTAAATTTGTAAGATCAGTAAAATTTTGATCAAAGGAACTCCACTGAGGACCAAAAGCCTGAAGCAATAAAATCTGAATTTCTTGCAAAAATGAGTTGGGACACTTAAAACAGTAACATAAGCAAAAGATTATTAAGAAATATACTCAGAACTAAAATAATAGTTTGTGCTATTTAACCTGATTTGAGTCAACAGAGTTGTTTATTTATTCTCTTAATGCATCTGCCCATTGTAACCACAACCCACCCCACCCCAGGGATATAAGCAATCAGTCCCTGGCAAAGACCTACCATTCGAGTTGACATAACAGTACGAGGGCAGAAGTTAGGGAAAAATCTGATAATCACTTAATTATTATGTTTTATTCTAAGGCTTGAACGAAACACCTATAAAACACCCTATAACAACAACAAAACAAAAATCAACAACAAAAACACCCCCAAAAACAACAACAGCAACAACAACAAAAATGAATTAATAAAATAAGTGTTTCGCGAGTTAAAAAATCCATCACCATAGAAAACTAAACGTCAATTAATAAGGTACAACCAGAATAGACGGTAGGAATATAAATTGCTGCATAACACTTAAACTTAAACGTCACATAATGTATTTTCGTTGGATTATTGTTGTTCAGGATATTTTTGCTCGTTTATGGAAACATCTCCTTTAGAACATTTGTTTATTTGTCTGCAATGCACGCATTAACAATTCCAATTTAGCCATATAGACTATTTCACAGAAAAGCATTTTTTAGGGATATATAAAAACAATATCAGTAAATTGTTTCAGTGGTGTCGTACATGCATACCTCAAATTGAGTTAGAAACTAATTTACTAATGATAAAATCAAATTCCCGAAGAACATTTTTCATAATACTGTAATGTTACTACATTTAACGAAGCATGTATCCCTCCTAATATTTGTAAGCTGTCATATTTTTAAAAACAATGAGAGCTAATAATGTTATAAAATACTGGTTAAAAGTTGTTCAGTTAAGTAGTACAAGATATGTCAAAGTTGTATATGATCTTATGTGTAGAGATTTAGAACTTAAACCGAATTCAATAGCCTGGGCTAAGTCTGTTATGATTTTGTTACAATCTTTAGGATTAATCAGGGCGTTGCTGATATAAATTTATTTTTAGCAATAGTTGAACAAAGATTAACAGATACATTTATACAAAATTGGTATGCAACTTTAAGAGATTCATCAAGAGCAAGAAGTTTATGTATTATTTTGTGATTTTGGTTTTAAATCATTATTGTCAATATGGTTAATATTGAACAAATTAGGAAATCTTTATCACGTTTCAGGACTTCTTCGCATAGATTAAAAGTACAAACTGGTAGATGGCATAAACCTGAAGCAATTCCTTATAATGAAAGAAAATGTAATATTTGCTTCAAACTAGAAAATGAATTTCATGTATTATTAGAATGTCCACAATATAATGTTTTGAGAAAACAGCTCATAGATAAATATAATTGGAAAAGAACAAATATACCAAAATTTATTGAATTGTAAGAAAATTATCAATGTTTATATTTAAAATGTTTGAATTAAGAACAAATGTTGAATATTCGTAAATTATAGTACCGAGGAAGGTAAATGTAACGTTACTTAATTGAAATCATTATGCAAAACCTGTACTTCATTTAAACCTTGCTGTGATATGTTATTCTATTAATATTAAAGCAAACTTATGACTCAAATATACAGTAAATGTTAAATATATGTTATATATGTTTAATGACCTTGAAATTATGTTTCTGTATGTATGTATGTTTGTTTATATGCTTTGTGCTCATAGGTATAATACCAACATGTATTTGGTATAAAATCTTGAAATTTTATTAAAATAGTTGAATAACTAAAGACTTTTGACAAATGAAAATAATATACCAAGAACAATTATCACATCAGTACAAAGACCTCAAACAATTAATTTATACATTAATAATTTCATCTAAACAATTAGAAGCAACAAACAATTAAAGTTACCTCTTCATCTTCTATCATTACGATGTTTTACTCTACCTGAACTTAACATCTCTGAAGAACTTCGACAAATTATGCAAAATGACGTTGTTTTACTCTACCTGAACTTAACATCTCTGATGAACTTCCACAAATTATGCCACATTACGTTGTTTTACGCCATCCCGCGGAGAACCGGAAATTGAAATCTGATTTTAACCAAATATAATAATTATATAATTCTTTTGACATAATTTAAATATTTAAATTTGTTTTTGTTTTGTATTTGTTTGTTTGTTTGCTTTGATTACCGTAGCTTGTTGTACTGTATGCAATTTTTTCTGACAGATCACGTGACCTCATTCCATGCCAATGATTGCACAAATCACCAATGTTTCCACGGCCACTGCGAAAGGGACGTGTACAATAACGAACACTGTAAATGTAAAGATGGATGGACAGGATATCAATGCCATATCAACGTAGCGCAAACAGGCAAGACATTAACTGCACATTACTTTTATGAATCGATATTTTCTTCCAACATCAAACAAAAAATATTATTTACAATTAAAGATATGAAACGGATTATTAATATACAGTCCCTTTTGAAATGTGAAATAAACATCATTTGAATACACACAGAAAATATATTATGTTTAGGCTCTACAAACAGTAGGTCTATAATTTCATAGTGTCATTAAAAACTGACAGTTTTTGTAAGAAAATAAATACCAAATTAATTTGACAAGAAGGGAATGCATCTTTCCAAAACATAGTTTATACATTCACTTATTAAAATAAAGTAGACATATTTAGGAGGAATTAACTGGAAAAAAAATCTGCAATGAAAGAATTTTTACCAAAGGTGAGCATAGTAATCTTTAAGCAAAATACCGTTTTTAGCTTTACTTAGATTAAACATTTTTCATAAGATTTATTTCACTTCTGTGCAGCTCACTAGAACTAGTTTTAAAGTAAAGTTTTAACATCGGAGGAAGAATTTTCCTATGCCCATCGTCAACAATAATAGTCCCTAAAAGTCCTTTATTTGGGCCCACTAACGGGTTACCTGAGCTAAAAAAATGAACAAATTGTCACAAAAGAGTTTTTGTAATACTCTTTTTTATGCTTAAACCCATCACTTGAAATAACTAAAACAACAACAACAACAGCAAAACCAGATACCTTGACGGTTTATAATTATGACCAAGAGTGCCATTTCCATGGTTATTGGACTCAGTCGGGATGCCTGTGTGACGATCATTGGTCGGGGAATAGATGTGAATATCGTAAGTTTCTATGGCAACTTTAAGTTATATAGTAAGTTATATAGTACTCAAAATTTGCTAAGGAATTCTTTTTCTACAGTGAGTTACTTTGTGTTTTTACAATAAATGTGAAAATTGATTAAAAGGAATTAAATATAATTAGTTAGGAATTGATTTTTATGAAAATAATGACAATGGAAGTGTTCCTTGACGTGTGCCTGTTGCGGAAAGAGTGTGCTGGACGAAAATCAACATTTTGGAGATCACATAGTGGAATAAAAAAATCTTGCAAATCAGGAAATGGTTGGCGTAGGGTGTTTAATACCGAGTATGGTGTCCGCGGGCATTAATTACGGCCTGGCATCGCCGCCGCATGCTGCTGATGAGCCTGCGGACCTTGTGATGAGGAATCTAGGCCCATTCCTCTATGATTGCATGTCTTAGCTCGGTTGGACGTCGTGCGAAGAAATAGCTTTCTGCAGCATACTAGTATCCCAAGCATGCTCAATTGGATTTAATACCAGGCATCTCGCTGGCCAATCCATGCGGACTATAGTTGCCTCCTCAAGATATCGGTTTGTGATGTGGGCTCTATGTGAACAGAACGGGCGTTGTCATCCATAAGAATGAATCAGGCCGATTGTACCAGCGTACGTGTGTACATGGACGTCTAAGATTTCATTCATGTACCTTAATGCCGTAAGTGTACTATTTATACTGATGTGTAGGTCCGTTTTCCTCTGAGCGCTTATTCTTGCCCACACCATGACTGAATCCCCGCCAAAGCGATCGTGTTCTGAAACGCATGCTGGAACTAAGTGTTCGTTTGGACTACTCCTAACCCTAGCACGTCTGTCCGTGAAGTCAACACAAAACTGTGACTCATCAGTAAAGAGAACCGCGGTACAATCATTAACTGTCCATGTGTCATGAGTCTGCGCCTATTGCAAACACTCTTGAATAGGTCAAAGGAATGCGAATTGCCAGCCTCCGTGACCTCAACCCAGCATCATGCAAGCTGTTTCTAACATTTTGTGTGCTTACACGCACACCAGTTGCATTCTGGAAGTAGTTACGTAAGGTCATAGCGTTCGAGAACCGTTGGCGCCTGGCCAAAAGGACATAAATAGGTCATGGGCTTGAGTCGTTGAACGTTCCCGACCTCCGGCGTTGCCCTGCAAGACATTTCCGGTCATTTGGAATCGGTTCCACATCCTGGAGACAACGCTCTGGGATACCCCAAGGACATGGGCAACCTGCCTTTGTGAACAGCCAGCCTTGCAACATTCCAATACCCCTGTTCATCTCATCTTCAATAAAACGACGTCTTACCTGATGATTAGCCATAGATTATTAATTTCGAACACAGTTTTACAATAAACGAGAGATGTTGTGTTGCTTGCACACGTTTAAGTGAAAGGCATGGCCATAAAACACCAAATTTTCATGGGTATGCTTTTCCACGTGCTTATCTTGCAAGGTGTACATGACAAATCGATAACTCAAGTATACGGTTATGAGGTCCCGGTACAGATGTTCCGTTAGCGGAAATATAATTTTAATACAAGTTTGCTTCATTAAAAAGAAGCATCCGAGAGGTTTTTTTGCTGCTGTAGAAGATTTAATTCGAAAATATTTGGGGATATTTTTGCATAAACGACGTAATGAATGGTTATAAATAACAATTATTTAACAATATAGAATTTAATATATATATATTGAATATAGTATCATAATGAAAGTTTGTTTTACACTTCATTTTTTAAAAAAATGAAAGTTTGTTTTACACTTCATTTTTTTAATTGGTTTGAATAATTATATGCCGGAGAAATGGACTTTTTTCTCGGCGCTTCAGGGGTACTTTTTCTAAAAGGGGAACAATTTATGTTTTGTCATTAAACTTTATTCTAAAATAAATGATAATAATAAATGAAACACAAACATTTATCAAACTTTATTCTGGTGACCAAGACAGTGCTGTTATGATGCATTAACATTTTTATTTACTGCTATATTTAAAGTTGCAATCGGACTAAATCAAACAAATACTTCACATTTTAGTTTTCAAATTTGTTACGATTTACTACTGAAGTGCCCCTTTAATCAAAGAAGTAACTTTTTTTTTGAAACAGGTTTTTATATTCCGGTGCACGATGCAGCAACATCATGCTCCTTATTATGTGTCTGTCCATACTGTAAACTCAACGTTTTAGACCACTTTTATGAATAGACCCAAACAAACACATGTGTTGTGCGATTTCCATTTAATAAGTAATATAAATCAATTTGTTGGGATGTGCCTCTGTAAGAATTATTCCGCTACTAATTTGATCTTTTTGTTATTGCAGATTTATTGGGTTTTGTGTTCATGTAACAAATTGGTTAAAATTTACAGTCAAATATATCCATAGAGTCTTAAGACACTTTTTCTACTGTCAATCATGCTATTCTAAAGTTAAAAAATACGCATACAACAACAACAACAAAAAAAAAAAACAAACAAGCTTAATTTCTACACTTTAAATAGTTCCAACAACAACAACAACTTCTACAACATCAAAACCAAATACCATGATGGTTAAAAATAATCATTATGACCAAGTGTGCAATGACCATGGTTATTGGATTCGTCATTCGGGATGCCAGTGTCACGAGAATTGGTCGGGGGATAGATGTCAATATCGTAAGTTTCTGTGGCAACTTTATTTGTATTTTATCTAATAAGCCAACTTTGAAAGTATTTAGTGGTGATCCATAATTGCAAGGACGACGAGGGAAGTACATTTAGGTTCTCATCGACCGCTGTACAGTGACCTATCAACATTTATATCTTTGGGTAATACTGCATGGACATTGCATAGAGATTAAGTTTCACCCATTCTTATTAAAATCATATCCTAACTGTCGCTCTACTACCCTGTGCTTCGAAGCGAAGAGTAAAAGAGCGAAAACGATGATTTGATTTTAGTGAGATTGGTAAACTTATTTATATATCTACTGAAGAAGGAAACATTCGAACATCATTGAAACCAGCATTTTGGAGTTAGCCTTATTGACAACATAATTATTTCTTGCATCATGATTTTTGACTTCTTTTAAACAATTTCTTTGACTGAAAATGTTTTTTTTAAATATATTTTCCAACGCTTGTTGAAGACCCGCGGCGTCTTTAATGAAATGTTATTCTTCTTAGAGTTTGTATTTTTATTGTTTTAAAACTTTAAAGCATTGCAGTTTGAATTTCAATTAATGTTTCTATAATCAGCCCCAGGTTCTGGACAACAAGACCATTGCCTTAATCACTGTGGTGAACATGGTACGTGTACAAGACACCAATCACATCATGGAAATGAGTACTGGAATTGTAAGTGTGATCATGGATGGCACGGGGATCACTGTACATTTCAATACATTGGTAAGAGATACAAAGAACTTTTCTATGAATTTTACATAATTCTGAATCGAATATTATTAATTTTTGGTTTGTTGGATTTTTATGGTTTTCGGACTATAAATAGAGTTTGAAATGAGATATTGGAATCAAACTTTGTATAAGGCAACCTTTTGTGGAAACCGATGTTGGTGATGCATTTTGACCCCCTAGAGTCAAGGTCAATGTCATCGTTACAATAACTGGACTTAGGAATAAGATATTGTAATCTAACTTTGTATATAGAAAGCTTTTATGAAGACCTATCTTTTTTATTGTTTTGGACCATCTTGCCCTGTCCTGTTTTCGTTTGGGGTCCGCCAGGGCTCCTTGCCATTGGTTCTTGTTGGTGGGTCATATGGGGGTTGCGTTCATTGAACGCCGCCTTTCCTTGTTGATCTTGTTTATAATATGTTTTGGGTTAAGGTCACCGTTACTAAAATTTAAAAAAAAGGTTTCTGGATAATAACTAGAGTTTGGAATGAGATATTGTAATCATACTTAGTATCTAGCAAGCTTATATGAAGACCTGGCTTGGTATTGCATTTTGACACCCCTGGGGCCAAGATCAAGGTCACCATTTACTAAAATGAAAAAAAAGTTTATGGACAAAAACTAGAGTTGGGAATGAGATATGATAATCATACTTGGTATCTAGCAAGCTTTTATAAAGACATGACTTGGTATTGCATTCGGATCTCCTGAAGTCAAGATCAGTGTTATTAAACAAGAAAAAAGTTTATGGACAATAACTAGAGTTAGGAATGAGATATTGTAATCAAACCCTGTAAACAGTAAGCTTACATGAAGGCCTATGTTTTTCTTTTGTTTTGGACCCCCTTGGGTTTAGGTCACCATTTCTTTAGGTAGAAAGATAGTTTGTCGGACAATAACTACAGCTAGGCATGAGCTATTGTAATCAGAGTTTTTAGCGAGCTTATATGAAGACCCCAAGCTCGGTGTGCTTTTGTTTCCCCTGAAATCAAGGGCATTAATCTAGTTATAACAATTAGTTAGTTCTTAACACTGTAGTATGCATTACCCCTCTGTTTTAGGGTTTAGGCCCCAGGGAGATGAAATGAATTGCACAATATAATATTAAACAAAATATTATATCAGGACAATGCATTGAAATTAAAATATTTATGTGATGATTGATGTTTTAAATCCATGTGTTAAAGCTATTTGCGCAGAAAGAAAACATATATAATCTGCTGTAGAATATTCAATACCGCCTCCGTGGTCGAGGGGTTAGAGTCGATGACTTCTAATCCAGTTACTTCTCTTGCGTGGGTTAGATCCCCGGGAGATGCTTTGGTAGTTTAACGCGGTGGAAGGTAGTCTAGTACTGGTGTAACTCTCCAGGAACGATGGTTAGGAAACTACCAGCCGATATTACTAAAATGAAACAAAAAACCCCCAAAAAACAACAGAATATTCATGTGCCAATGGGCCTCTGGTTAAATAAGTGCTCGATCATGGCGTTTATTTATCCGTCTTTGAACAGTGCGAAATGGGGAGAACGCCCGGAACGACGAAGTGACCACTGGGAAAATCCTTAAATGGCTCTGGATATGGTTAGTTTTTTAAGAGACAGACCTAAATGAAGCTGGTAAATGAATTGCATTTGCACATGTGTTTATGGTGAGAGCTGATGTAATTTTCTATGACATCATTGCTTTTTATCTATAAAAGGGTTTAAAGACAATGAAAAAATGTAGATGGATATGTACTTATGCCATTAATTCATAATGAAAGAAACGAATAAGCTCATATATATGGTTGCTAAGTTGTTAAGACATTATATTTTAACCTGTATTGTGAATATTTCCAAGAAAATGTTTTCTTTTCAAGACCATTCATGATTTACTATAAGATATATTTACTGTTTACTTATCGTGTTGTTCGTTTCGGCCGTATATTATACAGATTCGGCATTACTTTTGTACATTTTCACATTCTTGCGGTATGGATATACAATTAAACATGTGTTAGGATTATTCCAAAAAAAGACCACCCCTTGAATAAAGACCACCCTTTGACACACCTTTATTGATAAACATGCATTCGATTCAACTTAGAATTATGACCACTTGTCTATAAAGGTCATGTATGGTCTCATCTTTGGATGGTCTTTATTCACAAGTTTGACTGTACTCGATGTACATAGTAAACTCATAAGTTTAAAGCTCTAGACATATACCTTAAACTCGCTTGAACATGTGTAATAGATAAGACATTCCAAAATTATTCACAAAGCATTTTTGAATAATAAGCCTGACGCATAACGTCTTTGAATTTCTGATATTCTTTTATTTTCAGTGACTCATAGTACACATTGTCATAATACTTATTGCGTGAATGGAGACTGTACATATTATCAAGACACAATGGGTCATAAATGGGGATATCATTGCAGGTGTCACCACGATTGGGAAGGTGACCATTGCGACCAAGAAAAAACAAGTATGTATCCTTAGACTATGGATATATACCATTAACCCTTACCACACTAAATAACTTAAATGGACTTGTCCCTCTATCAATCTGAAGAACTCATTCATTGTTTTAAGGGAAAAAAAAGAACAGACCATGATCACACAGCACGGGTGGTGCGGCGGATCTTGGTCTGCAAATGCGCCGGATATTGGTTTGGGGAGACAGGAACAGAGCAAAACTAGGGGAAAGAACATTTTTCTGAGGACATCACCTCTGACGTAAATTTTCTTTCTAAATCTGAAAAATATTCTGTCATATCGTAACAGTGCATATAGTACATTTTTTATTGTAAAATTGCAAACAAAAAGAAAGAAAAAAAAAATCGTTTATCGTGAACTTAACTCTCTTGTAAGAAACTGTTCAAATATTGCTTAATACAAAACGTACAGTCCATGTGACTTATTTTGTTAACTTCTGAAGTATTTGAGCTTTGATATGTGAACAGTTACAAATTCGTGTAAGCATGGACATATATGGGGCAAAAAGAAAACAGCAAAGTCAAGGCCAATTGAAACTGTGTCGGACATACTTTTTAGAACATAAAACCAAAGTTAAATACACTTGGCTTTGTGATTTCCTACCTTTGAGCTTGTTTAACCTTAAATTTGATGATTTCGTTACGGATAAGGTTTAAGTATTGAAAAAATTTCAAATTGAATCGCAATTGCAATTGCCCTTTCAGACAAACTATATAGAAACCTTTTTCTCTACTTATTTTCAGTGAATTGTTATGATATATCTCAATATTTGATAAATATTTGTTATATTTACATAACATTCTTACACTGTTCTGTACATATGTAAACAAATTACTTGTAAACGATGTTTTGTTTTTGGTTGGTTACCTATGAAGCAATAAAGATATTGAATTGTATTGTATTGTGTTGTTTAAGAAAAGCTTAATTAAACATTAGTCGCAGTTACATATTTCCATACACTGTTAACATATTTGGTAATAGACAAAATCGTCTTTATGTATCAGTTTTATATTTTTATCTTCCAATTTTTAAATCCTTTTTTGCATAATTTAGATATTATTTTTGAGGATAAAACTTCTTAGCGTGTGCTTAAATTGCAAATATAAATTAACCAGGAAAACGTAAATAATAAATACACTTATAAATACACAGATAATTACAAACGTGTTATGTTTTAAAATGTAAAAATATCTTATGAAAATTATTAGTATGCAAATAATATAACAGAAATAGATTGATAAACGATATTTTTTTAATGTTTTGTTAATGTCTGATAATTTCTCTTTACCCCGACATACCTAACATGTTTTTTGAAATAAGCCATCAATATTTGATATGCTTTTTGTAACAAACCAAATTGCGGATTTTATTGATAGATAAAAGTTCTTGGAAATTTTGATCAATAAAATTGATTTTAAAGACAAAATCCTCTGGAAAAAATTCCTCTGTGTTCCTTGCTGTTATGATTGGTGCAATTGCCTTCTCTTTTAAAAATGTTATATTAAAACTTGAAATGAGCCGCGTAAATACAAAACCAACATAATGCGTTTGCGACCAGCATGGATCCAGACCAGCCTGCGCATCCGCGCAGTCTGATCAGGATTCATGCTGTTCGCTTACCAACTCTATAACAAGTAGAGAAACTGATAGCGAACATCATGGATTCTGACCAGACTGCGCGGATGCGCAGGCTGGTCTGGATCCATGCTGGTCGCAAAACCATTATGTTTGTTTTGTCATGACGCGGCTCAAATGTGTTACGAGCCAGGCGTAACGAGAAAGAAAAGCCAGCAGCAAACTTGTAACAATAACAAATTTATTACAGAAAAATTATTAAAGAAAAATAAAATAACAAATTATGTTTACAAATACCTGAAGTCCAAATAAAAATTACAAATGTCTAGTCTGATCCTGGAATGATCCTTTTTCAATAGCACAGTTAAATCCAAGTTAAATCCAAGAACACTTTAGAATAAATTCCCACAATAAAATCCACAAGAATAATTTATTTTAAAATCCAAGCTCCAATAAATCACTTAATTTCCAAATTGAATAATACTCCAAATATATTGATGACTTAAAAGATCACTGATGACTTAAAAGGTAACTGATGACTTAAAGATAAGATTAATGAAAAATGTCTCCTTATATATATTAACTAAGAAGTTTCCAGAAAGGTCTATTATGTTCTCAAGTAATCATAATCTAGCAACTTCAACAATAAAGATCATTCCAGAAGTTTCTATCTAAATATAATGCATGAGTTTTCTACAACAGTTAAGAACCTTCTAGTACATACATGTAGTTTATGTTCTAAAAATAGAACAATGATAATATTGGAAAAACCAACTGGTCAGATACAAACTATATACATGTAATATGTTGCATACATAACACTTCCCCTCTTCAAGAAAAAGAAATATGAATGAAATGAATATTTCTTTTACATAAATTCAAACAATGTAACTAACAAATAACATAGGAGAAATGTTAAACAATTTTATACATTCATATATATGTGTATTACAAACAATAGCAAACAACAACAAAAAAAATAACCAATCATATCATATAAATGTTAAATTTAAAATACTGCAAATAACAGTTTTAGACACGTGAAAGTGCATCAGGGATCAAATTATCTTTCCCTTTAATGTGTCTAATGTCAAGACTATATTCTTGCAAAAATAAGCTCCACCTCAACAACCTTTGATTTTTGTTTTTAAGTTTATGCAAGAAAGTGAGGGGATTGTGATCACTAAAGACAACAACAGGCAACTTTGAAGAAGTTAGATAAACTTCAAAATGTTGAATAGCAAGAATAAGAGCAAGGCACTCTTTCTCTATAGTAGAGTAATTTTTCTGATGTTCATTAAACTTTTTAGAAAAGTAACAAACAGGATGATCAACACCATTGTTGTCTTCTTGGATCAATACACTTCCAGCACCTATGTCACTAGCATCTACAGCTAACTTAAAGTTTTTATTAAAATCTGGTGCCAAGAGAACTGGTGCACTCTTAAGTATGGCTTTAAGGCTGTCAAATGCCATTTGACACTTGTCATTCCAAATGAATTTGTTTCTTTTCTTTAGCAAATTTGTCAATGGTTCTGCAATAACCGAAAAATTATTACAAAATTTACGATAATACCCTGCCATACCAAGAAATCGCATCAGTTGTCTTTTACAAGTTGGCAAAGGAAATTCAGAGATAGCTTTGACCTTAGCTTCTATTGGTTTAACTTTACCCTGTCCCACTACATGTCCTAAAAATGTTAAAATTGCATGACAAAATTCACTTTTTGCAAGGTTAACTGTCAATTTAGCATCACTAAGTCGGTCGAAGAATGCTCGTATAGTTTTGAGATGTTCCTCCCATTCATCAGAGTAGATGATTGCGTCATCAATGTATGCGTCACATCCGTGTAGACCAGATATTACCATGTTTATTAGCCTCTGAAAAGTTGCTGGTGAGTTTTTCATACCAAATGGCATAACTTTATATTGATACAAGCCGTCTGGTGTTACAAAGGCTGATATTTCTTTAGCTCTATCAGTAAGTGGAACTTGCCAGAATCCTTTTAGAAGATCAAACTTTGTTACATACTTTGCTTTTCCAATTTTGTCAATGCAGTCATCAATTCTTGGTATAGGAAATGAATCAGTTTTTGTTACAGAGTTCACTTTACGATAATCTGTACACATTCTATATGTTCCATTTGATTTCGGTACAAGAATACATGGAGAGCTGTAATTGCTTTGACTTGGTTCAATAAAGTCATTATCCAATAAATACTGAACTTCTTGTCTTAGGTACTTTTGTTTTACAGGATTTGTTCTATATGGATGCTGTTTTATTGGTTCAGAGTTTTCAAGAATGACGTCATGATGTATTTTATTAGTCCGTGTGGGAATATCAGGAAATAAATGTTCATATTCATAAATAAGCTGTTTCAGTTCATCTCGTTTCGACGGTTCTAAGTGAGCAAGTTTTTCATCCAGATTTTTCAGAATATCAGAGTTTTCAAGCTTTGCTGAACCAGGATCAGACTTTTCAAAATTTTCACAACTATTAGATTCAATTGAACATTGATTTTGTGGAACAGAGTTTACAAAAGATATAGGTTTACTAATTTTGCTATCTCTGTCAAAATATTCTTTTAACATATTTATATGACACATTTGCTTTTGCTTTCGCTTCCCAGGAGTATTAATAATATAATTAAGGTCACTGACTTTCTTTTCAATAGTATAAGGACCAAAGTATCTTGCCTGTAATGGTTTTCCAGGTATAGGTAAAAGAGCAAGTACTCTATCACCAGGGTTAAAACTTCTTTCCTGAGCATTCTCATCATACCTTGATTTCATTTTACTTTGTGTTGATTTTAAATTAACCTGTCACGGTTCAGAACTGTTCACTATTTAGGGGAGAATATGTGTAAGCGGCCGGATAGCTCAGTCGGTAGAGCCGCGGAACGGTGTTCCGAGGGTCCCGGGTACGAGTCCCGGTCAGGCTGCACATTTTTCTCACCCTGTGACATTTGGCGCCCGACGGGGGACCGTAACTGGATATAGTTCAGAGTTCAATTAGCATTGCTCTGTAACACTTTGAAATTCGAGGACGAATTTCAATAAAGCAGGGGTGTATGTCACGGTTCAGAACTGTCCACTATTTAGGGTAGATATATGTAAGCGGCCGGATAGCTCAGTCGGTAGAGCGGAAGAACGGTGCTCCAAGGGTCCCGGGTTAGAGTCCCGGTCAGGCTGCACATATTTCTCACCCTGTGACATTTAAATGTCACAGGGTGAGAAAAATGTGCAGCCTGACCGGGACTCGAACCCGGGACCCTCGGAATACCGTACCGCGGCTCTACCGACTGAGCTATCCGGCCGCTTACACATCTTCTCCCCTAAATAGTGAACAGTTCTGAACCGTGACATACTCCCCTGCTATATTGAAATTCGTCCTCGAATTTCACAGAGTTACAGAGCAATGTAAATTAAACTCTGAGCTTTATCAGCCACGGTCCCCC